GACCACAATTTTTATGATTTTAGTACAAGTATAAAGAAGGTTACCGCAAGCAGCAGGGACATCACATTGGATACCGCAGCATACAGGATGATCCCAAACTTGTGTTGTCTATGAATGTTGCCAAGATGCAGAGTGAGAGGGAGTACAAGAAAGATTTTGAGAAGTGGAAGACCAAATTTAACATGCCCGTGGATATGTTGGGCTTCCTACTGGCTAAGAAATGCCAGTCGTTGGTTAGTGATGTAGACTACAGACGGATTCTGCACCAGTGGACTAGTTTGCCGGACCAGACTAGCATCATTCAAGCTAAGAAAGTATATGAACTGCAGAGTGATGTAAGTTTTCTTTTTACTTGATATGTTTCTTCTATATTTGTAAAAGAGATGGTCATTATTGAAGGAAGTCTGGTGTCCCTGTAGAGCAGAAATGACATTTCCTCTTGTAGTCCTGATCATACCTGAATAAGCTCTGTTAATTGTCGGTTAATTGTGTAACACAGGGCAGTGAGGCCAGGGCTGCTGACGGGGGCAACTGCCCAAAGACCTGGTGATTCAAAAGAGTCCAGGGCTCCTGGTCACCGCTACTGTGATAGTGGTGGTGGCGGCTGGAGCCCCAGTCCCTTTAAATTACCCCTGGAGCCCCATGTAGTGCTGTATAGAGTCCCAGGAGGTGCGTTCTGGACAGTGTTGAGAGCTTGGGGAGGGGACAGTGAAATCCAGCAGCTCAGAAGGCCCCTTCTGCCTGAGGCCCTGCCTCTTCTAGAAGCACAGAGCTGCCCCCGCCCACACCTTGCCCCGGGGCCTGGTGAGTCTGTCTGCTCCCCTGAATGATGCAGACAAGACAATGATCTTTCCTGATTTTTTTGGTTCTCTAACATTTCAGAATCTATATAAGTCAGATCTTCAATGGTTGAAAGGCCTGGGGTGGATCCCATTTGGCTCTTTGGAGGCTGAAAAGAACAAGAAAGCTTCAGAAATCCTGAGTGAGAAGAAATACCGCCAGCCACCAGACACTGTGAAATTCACAAGTATCCCTGATGCCATGGACATAGTTCTGGCAAAGTCTAATGCCAAAAATAGGAGCGATGTAAGTTTCTGAAGGCTGAACAGCTAACTGGACAGATAAATGAACTTGTAATTTATGTCAGCCTCTGAATTATATTCATTTTAACATTATATGAGTCATCGGTGACTAATCTGTCTTTAAAAAAGTAATTTTCCAATCGTCGGTGATAGCTATCTATTTAGCAAAATGTCATCTTGCTGTGATTTTTTTACCCTTTTGGCATCTTGAGTTCAGCTGTGAAGAAGTACCAAGTGTGACTCAGGAGATTATCGTGGCTGCCCTACAGAATATATTCAGTGTTAAGCATAAATAATATCTTTATCCATGCTTAATCTTAGTCATGCTGTATATGAGAGTTAATTTGACTATTGTAATGATGACTTTTTGGCCTTCTACATGTAATTTTTTGCATACCCCTTGTATTTAAGTGGAATTCTGGTTCATTAATATATTATTTTCTTTAAACATCCATCCAGTGCTATTTCTATAGCCTACATTTCAGACTTGCATAACCTGATAAAAGGTGAAACTGAATGAAATCTGCTATTTATATGAAGATTCTATTAGACATGCTATTTTTGTTTGTTTTTCATTCTAGAGACTTTACAGAGAAGCTTGGGACAAGGACAAAACTCAAATTCATGTCATGGCTGACACTCCTGAAATCATTTTGGCTAAAGCAAACTCAATCAATATGAGTGATGTAAGTCTGACTCAACACTACCTTGGATATTCCCTGAGTTTATGATTTGAAAAGCCATTTCATGAAAATGCAATCTTGCAATAAGGCCATCAGAATGTATTCTGGAACTCTTGAATTCTTACAACCTTTAACATACCCATTGTCTTTTTCTGGTAAACTTATTATTGTGGAAGGAGTCAATATGGTGGTTATTAGATTGTAAGAAAAATACCAACAATGCATGCTGCATGAGATACTTAGATGTGCCTATATCATCCTTATTGCTCAAATCAACACCTTAGATATCTCTCCAATAAAATGTTTAATTGTGGCGACTTGAATATTTAGAATTATAGAGTATCATTTTTATCAAATTCTGCTTTATCATGGAACATACAAAAGAGATGCCAAAAAGATTTATTGCTAGTATTCAAGAGAAAAGGGATAGGGACACATGGAAGTCAGAAAATATATATTGTTGGCCTTAACAGAAGTCCATGTCGTTTTGGTCTAGAGCAAAAGGATTGCAACCAAACATTTTTATTTACCTCTTGCCAGTCAAAAATTTCTTCTGGAGGAAAATATTCTATAGCAAGTATAGCATATGAGATTTTTGATGAATTTCTAACACCAAAAAGCCATCTCAGAAAACTAAAAAAAAAAAGCTTTTTAATTTAAAAACATGATAGCTTGGCAAACATCATTTGATAAATCCACCCTTTTTTCTGCACAGAGTAAAAAATAGAAATTTGTTTCTTGAACTATGGTAGAAAATACTCTCTCCAAACATAAAATGCAGGACTATGTAGCACTTTAAAGACTAACAAGATGGTTTATTAGATGATGAGCTTTCGTGGGCCAGACCCACTTCCTCAGATCAAATAGTGGAAGAAAATAGTCACAACCATATATACCAAAGGATACAATTAAAAAAAATGAACACATATGAAAAGGACAAATCACATTTCAGAACAGAAGGTGGATGCGGGGGGAGAGGTGGGAAGGAAGGTGAATGCCTGTGAGTTAATGATATTAGAGGTGGGGAAAGGTAGATGTCTGTGAGTTAATAGTGTTAGAGGTGATAATTAGGGAAGCTATCTTTGTAATGGGTAAGATAGCTGGAGTCTTTGTATTGTAATGCTTTTTTACAAAGAGTGCTTGCATTCATTAGTGTAAACTTGTTTCAACAGAAACTCTATAAGTTAGGATATGAAGAACTGAAGAAGAAAGGCTATGATTTTCCTCCTGATGCCATACCACTCAAGTTAGCAAAAGCATCCAGAGACATTTCGAGCGAAGTAAGAGTCTTACTAAAATAACAGAAAGTGTGGTTGAGTATTATTGGGCTGAATTGGTGCTGATAGAAAATAATTGGAGTCTTTCTTTTGGCTTCAGTGAGATGGGTCTCTTTCTTTTTTTCTTGCTTTCTCACTTTTTTAAAAACATACAGTGGATGCTTCAATGTCGTTCTATGCATTCTGACAATGCATTCATACAGTATTTATTATTTTTGGTCTGCCACTATTGATTTCATATAAACCCAGTTTATTACTGAAATTTTGTGGATGACATTGACATTCTATTTCTTTTAAAAGTTGATACAATCCTTCAGTGATTTAGACTGTCCTATAGAGTTGCATGTAATTATTTGAAGAAGAGTGTTTCTCTCACTGAAATAGTTTGAATTCAGATTTAATATTTCATATCAAACCTGGAATCAACAGTTAAGTGGCCTATTAGTTGCCAGGCATATCCTGGATGCCACAAAGCCATATGTGAATAGTTCCAATTTACCCAGTGAGGTCCACTAAATCTGGTGGAATTGGACACCTAAATTTGGACAATACGCATAAGGAAGGCTTTGCAAGAACAGTGAACCCCATACTGTGAAATTATAAGGATTATTGCATCCACCACAATGGAATTAAAAGTGCTCAGCTATTTATAGGAATCAATTATCTCCTCACAGGGTTGTGATGTTAGTATGTTACAATAACAAAGGAATTTCACCAAATAGTTTTAAAAACATTTCTTTCCTGGGTTAAATTTAAAAAAGCAACAATTATTATTTTCTTTTTTTCCAATAGTACAAATACAAAGAAGGGTATCGCAAGCAGCTTGGCCACCATGTGGGAGCCCGCAACATCCAGGATGATCCCAAGATGGTGTGGTCTATGCATGTGGCCAAGATCCAGAGTGACCGTGAGTACAAGAAAGATTTTGAGAAATGGAAGACCAAGTATAATACCCCTGTGGACATGCTGGGAATCGTACTGGCCAAGAAGTGTCAGGAGCAAGTCAGCGACATTGATTATAGATATCCTCTGCACAAGTGGACATGTCTGCCAGACCAGAGTGATGTTGTACATGCCAGGAAAACATACGATCTTCAGAGTGATGTAAGTCCCATTTTTACCAGCTTTATGAAAACTGAAGCATTCTATAAAATATATTTTTGCTCCAGTTTAAGACACTATTTTTTTGTCCTGAAAGACCTTTTTATATACTGAATTAGTGGGTGTTTTCAGAACAGTGACAATATAAGTGAATTCTCTTCCACGGGTAGTACGCTCACAATAAGTAGCAAGGCAATCTTCTTTTTGTATCCTTACTAATTTTGCGCTCTACTCGTGAGTAATTTGGAGTTAAGTTGATTGCAGTGGATTTTAACTCCCCATAGAGCACAGTCAGGGCAAGATAATCAATTATTTCAAGTTAGTAAATGACTGCTATTTTGACTGTGTAAGTGATACATCAAGAGCTCAAGGAGCTGGGAAGTCCATCCCGAACTGTGACATTTGGCAGAGGAAGAGATTGCTGTAATTCCTGAAATGCATCTTGAGTATCTAAGATATCTCTATTATAGTGGTAGATGAATCTCCACTCGCATAGAAACAGAATTTGCAGCAGTCAGAGTTAGATTTCTGTGGATTAAGTAGTGTAGGCAGATCCTCCCTTAGTTTCAGAGACTATAAGGGTATAGCTACGTTGCGATGTAAGCCCAGGGTTGTGCAATTTGAGTTAGCAGATCCACGGTTTGTTGACTCAGAGACTGAGAATTTATGATAGCTTGTATTCCAGGGTTAGGAATTATTGAACCCGGAGTGCCACCCTCATACTCCAGCCATTATTCTGCATTGTGCAGGCCCAAGTCCAGCAGCTCATATCCAAGACTTCCGAGTACCCTCAAAAATGTGCCCTTCAACTCTGTTTGTAGTTCATTGTGGGAAAATTGACAGTCCTCCAAAGTCGACTGTCCTGAGAACACAAAAGTTGGCCCATGGGATTGTGGGACACTTTTGGTGGATTCTTAGAGCACAAGTCCAATAGGGCTACATCTACACTGAAAAGCAGTAGAGAATGAGCTCTGGGTCCAGGCTTGACTCAGGCTCGGACCCTCCTGCTGTTCCAGGACGTAAAGCTAAGTCCTGGCTTAGCAAAATGTATGTGTAGATCAGATTGGCTCAGGGTGGATGATTGAGCGTGAGTTTGAACTTTGGGTTTTACATTGCAAAGTAGCTCTTTCTTCAGAGTTGAATTAGCCTTGTCACAGTGTTGCATGATGGTAACCTCTGTCATCTATGGTATTGATTAAACAGTGAGAATCTCTTTAATTAGTGCTGCTTTGCACCAGAGGAAAAAAACATTCACATTGTCTAAATAAAATAATGAACTGTCTTGCCTTCCTCTATAATTTCAGCTTATGTATAAATCAGATCTGCAGTGGATGAAAGGCATTGGCTGGTCCCCAAGTGGTTCTCTGGATAATGAGAAGAATAAGAGAGCAACCCACATCCTGAGTGACCACACCTATCGGCAACACCCAGGCACTATCAAATTTAGTAGCCTGCTTGATTCTATGCCAATGGTTCTGGCAAAGCACAATACTGGAATTATGAACCCTGTGAGTTTTCTATTTATTTGCAACTAGAATTAAAATGGTATAATTTTCCTAGATGCTTAAGTGTTTGTTTTTAAAGGAAAATAAATTAGCATTACAATATAATAGCCTTTTAATTGACTCTCAGGGATTTATTTCCTTTATAACTGAGTGCTTTTTCATGTATTTTCAGTTTCTAGCACATAGTTAAAGTATATTATTTAAAATATATGTATTAATTTCCTATATTTAAGATCTGAAACACGAAAAAGTGGTTTAATAAGAGATTATTTTTATATGTTATTTTCCATCATTACAAAACAATGCAAAAAAACCTGACCTATATATTTGTTTTCAAGGAAGGTGCAGTTGTATACACATTCATCGTAACTGTGCAGAAAATTGGCCACTGATAACTAGCTGAAATAGTCATATAAATGTCAGCGGAACTGTTACTTGGAAAGTTTTAAGATTCAAATTAATCTTCGCTAAATTTGCATTTATTTATCTTCACAAAATGTAGTATCCATACCCTTACTTCCAGTCTCTCTGATATAATGATGGAGTTTAAATTGAATTGCCATGTAAAAAAGACTTGGTCATATTCTCAAAATATCTAATAGGTTATTTTTCAGCAAATTATTAAGTCTGATATAATTTATCATGACCTTTTGTTGTCAAAGATAATGGAAAAATGAATTTGGCTAAGTGAAATGCTTAAGTAACAGGTATGCCTCAGTGCACTGCTCTGGTAAGAGTAGGCTGAGTTGCTCTTCTGCATGAGGCAGGGTGTTTCCAGCCTGGCTCTAGGGCTCTTCTGCAGGCTGCCATGCTAAGCAGCGGGCAAGGGCAAGGGGCTGGGGTGAGGGCATGCCCCCAGACTGATATGGGACTTCCCCAGCATGGAGCCCTCCTCCTAGAGCACCATTTATGGAGGACAGGAAGGGGGGGCTGAAACCAGCCTCTCCCTCCCAGTATCTACTGATGCAGAGTGTTGCTTGCTGTTCCTTTCTGTCACAAGGAGTGAGAAGAAAGCTCACAGTGTCTCTGCATTCCTCTCCCCACCAGCTGGTGCGGGGAGGGAGCAAAGCAGTGAGTGACCCACACTGTGTTCTTTCCTTTCCTTTCCTTTCCTTTCCTTTCCTTTCCTTTCCTTTCCTTTCCTTTCCTGACAGTGACAGAAGAGGAACAAGCAGCATTGGTAGGAATTGGATGCGGGGCTTTAGCTCCCACCCTCCCTAAAGGGTACTTTTGCCTCCCATCCCATTCCTCTAGCCCCTGCCTTGATTCCTGCACCCTCCATACCCTAACCCTCTACCCTGAGCCCCTCCTTTCACCCTCCAACCCTGATTCCTGTACTCCCCATGCTGATTTAGGCATTCCCAGCATACCTGAACAATCCCCACATACCCCAACTCCCTGCCTTGAGCCCCCTGCATTCCACTCCACCCTAAATTTCTTACAGGTACTGTCATATCTCACAGCCAGTTCCCTGCTCTGAGCCCCCCTTAGAGGGGCAATACAATACCTGTAAGACATGTAAGTTACTTTCACCTCTGTTTAATAGATTAATCACTCTGGGTGAAATCCTGGCCCATTAAAGTGAATGGTAAAATTCGCATTTGACTGAAGTAGAGCTAGGAATATGTAATGCAAAAATCGTACTAAAATCACTGAGCAGACTTGTAGAATGGTCTCCAGATCAGTGCAAAAGAAGAGAACTTCTGTTCTTTAAGTTTCAATAATGGTTGTTTCTGACTCTATGAAACTCTGAGGATTCCTGATGTTGGTCATGCTTATTCAGTCAAAATACTGTCTTACCATATTATTGACTGAGGTCTTCATGATTACAAACATATTATATTTGTTATTTGCTTTTCAGCGCTCATATACAGAAGCTTGGAACAAAGATAAAACTAGTATCCACATTATGCCAGATACCCCTGCTATTTTACTGGCACAGCAGAACAAATGGAATTACAGTGACGTAAGTGGTGCCTTGTTTAAAATTAAAAGGCAGCTTGTAAGACAATTTAGATGGAAAGGAAATGCTTTATTTCTGACATGCAATACATTTTTGTTATGATTTTAGAAACTGTACCGACTTGCAATGGAAGAGGAAAAGAAGAAAGGCTATGATCTACGAGTAGATGCCATTCCAATCAGGGCAGCTAAAGCTTCCCGAGACATTGCAAGTGAGGTAAGTAACCGTGGACCTTTCTCCTTAGATTTCAACAAATCTCAACATTGTTGTGAATAGTTAAAGTCCTAATCTGCCAACATAATCATGTGTCAAGCAACATAATTTTCATAATAATATATGGGAGTGTAACTGGAATAAAATCTTCCTTACTGTTTCTGTAGGTCTGTGCTTTCTTTAGCCATTACAAGGTTCCATTGCCTGTACCTGTTGCCTATTTGAAGTTGATAGTTTGAGGGGTGTGGCAAATTAACTCCTCTTGTCCTGTTTTCATTCTAACTCTTATTTAATAATATTTGCTAGTCCATATTTTTAGCAGAAGTAATCCTTTTGTTGCGGTGTAACCTACAAGTACTGCCAGTCAGACCGTTCCTAGTCACGAATACACTTCTGTGAAACTAGTTTTTGGAAAAAAGTGTGTTTCGTTTTCTTAAAGATTAGATTTCATGCAAAAGGATTAACCGACTTGGATTGGATTGTAGGCTAAATGCTAGTTGAGAAATTGACATGTACGTAACCATGTTCAGTGGCTTATCCACAGTCATAGAAAGAACATTTTCCCCTCTGGTAGACTGTCAAGCCAAACTATTATTGTAATACATTGAAAGTCTATATACTATTTTGATACTTAGTAATTGAATTTAGTACTAGTTTAAAATGTTTTTTAATACATTCACTAGGCATACTTGTTTTTGTCTGTTTTTATTTTCATGTTTCTGTAAAATTACCAGTAAAGCAGTTTGAGCATGTCTACACTTCAGGGCAAAAGTTGAATTAAAATACACAGCTTCAGATATGTCAATTGTGTAGCTGAAGTTGAAATAGCTTAACTCGTCATTTGGCGCTGTCTACAGAGCAGGAAGTTGAAGGAAGACTACTCTTCCTTCTACTTCCCTTACTCCTCGTGAAATGAGGGTTACAGGAGTTGGAGTAAGTCATCCTCCATTTCGACATTATTTTGAAATAACAACTTGCTGTGTAGACACACACTATGTTATTTCAAAATAATGTCAGTTATTCTGAAATAATGCTGCTGTGTAGATGTACCCTTTGGCTATGTCTACATTGGCACCCCTTTCCGGAGAAGGGATGTTAATGAGACCAATCGGAATTGCAAATGCCGCGGGGGATTTAAATATCTCCCGTGGCATTTGCATGAACATGGCTGCCGCTTTTTTCCAGCTTGGGGTTTTGCCGGAGAAAAGCGCCAGTCTAGACGGGATCTTGCGGAAAATAAGCCCTTTTCCAGAAGATCCCTTATTCCTATTCCAGAAAAGGGCTTATTTTCTGCAAGATCCCGTCTAGACTGGCGCTTTTCTCCGGCAAAACCCAGAGCCGGAAAAAAAGCGGCAGCCATGTTCATGCAAATGCCGCGGGTGATATTTAAATCCCCCATGGCATTTGCAATTCCGACTGATCTCATTAGCATCCCTTTTCCGGAAAGGGGTGCCAATGTAGACACATCCTTTGTGTTTAAGAACATAGAACAATGGAACTGGAAGGAACCTTGAGAGGCCTGGTCCCCTGAAGTCATGGCAGGACCAAACATCATAACAAGGCTGAGGCTGTTATCTGAGAGAGTAACTGATGGGCACTAAATAAGATAGAAACTGAATTCTGACACTAAAGGATCCAGGCCAGTGAATTAGAAAGAACTTAGCTACAATGTCTTAGGCATAGGAAGCTGTCATTCCTCTCCAAATAGTCCACACCTAGTCCCAAAGACACTATGTTATTTATCCATTTAAGGACCTCTTGTGGTTTTAAGTGCAGGAAACCTACGAGTGCTTTAGCACTCAGATTCCATGCTCAATGAACACAACACTTCTTTATGTGGAAGCCTCCACACTAGCACATAATGTCCCCCAGGGAATTGCTATAGGATTATTCGATGTTTTAACAATACCCTTCCTGAATCTTATTGAAATTTGTTTGTTTATTTGTGTTTTTTTCCCCTTTGGCCTACAGTACAAATACAAAGCAGGGTATCGCAAGCAGCTTGGCCACCATGTGGGAGCCCGCAACATCCAGGATGATCCCAAGATGGTGTGGTCTATGCACGTGGCCAAAATCCAGAGTGACCGTGAGTACAAGAAAGATTTTGAGAAATGGAAGACCAAGTATAATACCCCCGTGGATATGCTGGGAATCGTGCTGGCCAAGAAATGTCAGGAGCAAGTCAGTGACATTGATTATAGACATCCTCTGCACAAGTGGACGTGTCTTCCAGACCAGAGTGATGTTGTACATGCCAGGAAAACATATGATCTTCAGAGTGATGTAAGTCCCATTTTATTACCATCTTTGTGAAAACAGAGGTGTTCTATTGAATCTATTTTTGCTGCAATATCAAAACACGTATCTATGGACTGCATTTCTTAACCTTTTTATCTTGCAAGAACCTTACTGCTTCATACTAGATTGGTGGGTTGTCACAGTTTCAGATAAATTGCATGTATATTCTTTCTCTATGGTCCATCAGACTTCTGATCTTCTACCTGAGCCTCCCTGCCTATGCTGTGACATTAAGCAAGTGACAGATAGCACTAGTTTGATTGTTACCCCTATGCATGATATATCTCATTTGAAAGTCCATTGTGTGTACTTTAAGATGAGGTATGATGTGGAACTGTCAAGTGTTGCCATTACCATAGAAACTGGAATAAACTGTGACACCCTCAATATGTTAAAATAGCCTTTATGAAATATTTGCCTTTGTTTGTGCTAGTTTGACTCTGTGTATTATTTCAAGACACAATTGGATTTCTCTGTGACTTCAGAACATTACAATAATCAGCCAAAGGATGGAGAACATCTATTTATAAATGTGTACAGGTATATTGTAGTTGTTCTGGTGGCATTTCTTCTCAAAATCATTATCATCATCTTTTTCATCATTATAATCTGTGTTATGAATATGTACGTCACTATGGTCTTCGTGGCCCTGACATGCACACAGCTTTGTGTAGGGCAGATTATTGTGATTGCCAACACAGTTGATTGTGCAGTGACCCCTATTGGCATGTGAACAGATAAGGTCTTGTAAAAGCACAGGTGCAACTGGGCCTTTGCGCCATAAAGGAAGGAGTTGATCATCCATATTTTTTCATCTATGATGCAGTGGTGATCCAAATCTTTTACATGCTTTTCAAAACTATCCTTCCAACGTGGGAGTTTGTTCAGTGACTTTTCCTTTTCGATGGTTAGATTAAGGCACGAACAATTCATGTTTCTGTAGGTATCCTTTTCTTTTTCATGTTGGTCATACAGAACTGCAATTAACTTCCTGATTGCAGAAATTATGGCTTGTCCAACATTTTCTCCCAATTCGGCAATAACAATGAAGCAGTAACTCTCTTACAAAATATCTTTCTCAGTGGTCTAATTACTATGTTTCCTTTTACACCAAAAGACCCAAAAGCCATATTGGTTTCTACTTTTGGAAGTATTTCTTAACAACAAAGCACGAAAAGCCATTTTTGTGCACTCCAACCTCTTTACTATAGGTGACTTCTGTTCCATAGCCTGAAGAATGTGTGTAATTTTGCATGCCAGACTTCAGCTTTTGTTACCTGCAAAATTTCACTCTGCATACCACTCTACATATCATCCTTCCAAACACCATCTGAGCATGCAGATTTGCATATATGCTTGAGTGCTTTACTTTTTGGGTGGGTGTTTGGACCTCAGGAATGTGTGCAAAAACATTCTGTTTTTCTTCTTGGACTGACCATAACTGGTAACAAGACTCCACCAAAAGATGAGAGAAACACAGAATCATAGAATTACCAGACTGGAAGGCACTGTGAGAGGTCATCTGTCTAGTTCTATTCACTCCAGGCCAGGGAGGCGGAGGGAGACTGTGTGCTGTCCTTCCCTCCCCCTGGCTAAATCATCACCACTCTGATTGGTTGATGATTGTGTTGCAGGTGGGGGCAGCCAGGTTCTTCGAGTGGTCTAAGGATGATCCAAAGGCTTGTTGGGTCAGATCCAGCTCACGGACTGCATCTTGCCTACTATGTTCTATAACCTCCCTGGTCCATTTATTCCAGTGCTTAACCACCCTGACAGGAAGTTTTTCTTAGTGTCTAACCTAAACTGCTCTTACTGCCATATAAACCCATTGCTTCTTGTCCTATTCTCAGATGTTACAGAAAATAATTTTTCTTCCTTCTCTTTGTAACAACCTTTTATGTACATGAAAACTCTTACCATAACACCTCTATCTTCTCTTTTCCACACTAAAAAAATACTTTTTTCACATTTCCCTTATTGGTCATTGTTTTTTGATCACTTTATTGGATTTTCTCCAGTGTGTCCACATCTTGGTCAACTGGAGAAACAAGATCTTTGATCAGCTCAGGAGGTTTCATGTATATTAATGTATTAGAACTCAGCTGTTTCTTGGGCTTGTGAGATATTTATTCCCCCCACCAAAAGGCAGGTGGTGGAAATTCTCACAGACAGTGCTACAGGCATGTTTTACCTGAAACAAGACTGTACCAGGAGGCTTCCTTCTTTGGAATCTGTATTCCTCACAGTGTTTCCCTGAAAGCCTTTCACCTTTACCATTTATTGAAGAAATACTTCCCCACTCAAAACCAATACAGATCTTTTAATACATTATTCTTTGCTAGCTTTTACCTATGAGCACTATATTGAGGTGTTTAAATCGGTCAGTAAAAATGTTGTCTTAGTCAGGTTGCAGTGTGACACTCTCTTATTTTGTAATAGATATGTAGCCGTGTTAGTCTGGTCTAGCTGAAACAAAAAACAGGACTATGTAGCACTTTAAAGACTAACAAGATGGTTTATTAGGTGATGAGCTTTCATGGGCCAGACCCACTTCCTCAGATCAAATTGTGGAAGAAAATTGGCACGACCATATATACCAAAGAACCATATGTACCAAAAAAATGAACACATATGATTTGTCCTTTTCATATGTGTTCATTTGTTTAATTGTATCCTTTGGTATATATGGTTGTGACAATTTTCTTCCACAATTTGATCTGAGGAAGTGGGTCTGGCCCATGAAAGCTCATCACCTAATAAACCATCTTGTTAGATACATAGTCCTGTTTTTTGTTTCTCTTATTTTGGTTACTGTTGTTTTACTATGCCTACAAGTTTACAACACCACTTGCAAGCTCCACCTCATCATATGCTTTCAAATGACGTATGATGTGGTTGCATTTAGGCTGGCTATTTTGCCACATGCTTATATGCTCAACAAGACAGATTGCTTGAAAGGGCCGAATCCTGTGCTTTGTTTTCTCTTCATGCTCTATGACCAGTGTTTTCCCTGCAGTTATAAATCACCATATAGCTCCTTTTAAGCAAGATTTTTTTTCTATAAAGTGGTAGCATTATTGTCACAGCTGGATTGTGGGCAGCTAGACTTAGTGAGATGGGAGTCAGCTGTGTCAGCATACCAGGAGTCCAGTTGCAGAAGACACTGGAGGTCAAAATGAAAATCAGATGCCAGAAATTATATGTGGTCAGGATACCAAGATATCAAGCATGGCAAACAGGAAACACATGGCACCCACTCCAGAAAGGGTGCAGCCCAGTTGTTCAGACAGATTCCTTTCTTGCTGCTGATTTAAGTAGGACAGCAGGCCAGTCAGCTGATTCAGGACTCTGCCAATTGGGTTGCAGGGGTGGATCCTTGAATGAGGTTGAGTTTTGTGGTTTCCAGGCAGATAAGGAAGCATCAATAGCTCAAGATGGAGGGTTGGGGAATGGCTGTTCCTATAAACCGTGTAGATTCAGGTCCAAGGCTTGTGGGCTATGAAAATTACAAAGAAAACATACTAAACCAAGAAAGAATGTAGATGCATGCTAAATAGCTTGTCACAGGTCATCCACTAAATCCCACCCCCACCGCCCCTGTCTCTGGTAGGTGCCAGTCCTTCAAAACTGCAAATGGTTTTTTCCCCAGGGGTTACATATTAATCTACACTTAACAACCAGAACCCATGCTGGGCAGTTCAGCTGTTCCTTTGTATGTCTTGGACCTTTGATCTCTAGTCTCTAGGGCAGGCAATGAATGGATCAGTACTCTCTCCTCAGAACGCAACTTCAGACAAGACTTTATTCATAACCAAAATTAGAAAATTTACATTATGCTTTTTTTTCAAATCATGGTATGTCCAACCTTGAATACTGCATACAGATGTGGTTGCCTCATCTTGAAAAAGATATATTGGCATTTGAAAAGGTTCAGAGAAGGGTAACAAAAATGATTAGGGGTTTGGAACGGGTCCCTTTTGAAGAGAGATTAAAAAGACTAGGACTTTTCAGCTTAGAAAAGAGGAGACGGGGGATATGACAGAGGTCTATAAAATCATGGCTGGTGAAAAAAGTGAATAAGGAAAAGTTGTTCTAGGGGCCACCAACTGAAATTAATAGGTAGCAGGTTTAAAACAAACAAAAGGAAGTTTTTCTTCATGCAGTGCATAGTCAACCTGTGGAACTCCTTGCCAGAGGATGTTGTGAAGACTAGGACTTTAACAGGGTTATAAAAAGAGCTAGATAAATTCATGGAGGGTAGATCAATCAATGGGTGTTAGCCAGGATGGGTAGGAATGGTGTCCCTAGCCTCTGTCTGGAAATGGATGACAAGACAGTGATCACATGAGGATTGCCTGTTGTGTTCCCTCCCTCTGGGGCATCTGGTATTGGCCACTGTCAGCAGACAAGATGCTTGAATAGATGGATCTTTGGTCTGACCCAGTATGGCTGTTCTTATGTTCTTAAGTTGGAAAATCTCTCCCCAGCAAAACTACTTAACACCTATTGACCCTAAAGTCACTGCTTGTAAGGTGCATTTTCAATATAGTGCTTTGAATTTCTAGGTCTGACTTTCCTTTCGTCTCCCCTGTAGAGAGGGTACATATAATACCAGCCCACATTAAGGGCTACATTAAATACAAAAAGGTATTCAAAGGTGATTGTAGGAAATTGCCATATCTGTCATGTGGGTATTACAGAACAATGACAATGGAAGTGATGCCTTAATTACCTCACAATTAGCAACAGGCAGCCTTCTGTTTGCATCCTTACTAAGTAGGGATCTTTTCTGGTGCACTTTGGAGTTAAGTTTTCTGCAGTGGATTTCTACTCACCATAGAGCAGAGTGAAGGCAAAATAAATTGAGTTTCATGTTTGCGAATGGTTACTATTTTGACTGTATACGTTACATGTCCAGAGTTTGGGACTGTAGGAAGTGTCTCTTCACCTGTGGCATTTGGTGGAAGAAAAGAAATGGCTGTTAACCTAGACACTCAACATGCATTTTGGAAAATATCTCCATGCCAGTTGAAGATGAATCTTCACCCTGACTGAGACAGAATTTCTAGGGGGTGCTGTAGGATTTTTGAGGAGTAAGTGAACTAGGCAGATTCCACGTTGGGGTTCAGAATCTGTCAGTGTAGCACTAGCCCTTTCAGAGGACTGCAATGATCTCTGTAATTTCTTTAATTGGTGCGCCTTTTCTTTAAAGAAAAAGGGTTCACGTCTAAATAAAATTGTGAACTGTGTTGTCTCATTCTGTAATTTCAGATTTTATATAAATCAGATCTTCAATGGCTGCGAGGCATTGGCTGGGTCCCAAGTGGCTCTCTGGATGATGAGAAGAATAAGAGAGCAACCCACATCCTGAGTGACCACACCTACCGGCAACACCCAGGCACTATCAAATTTAGTAGCCTGCTTGATTCTATGCCAATGGTTCTGGCAAAGCACAATTCTGAAATAATGAATCAAGTGAGTTTTCTATTTATTTGCAACTAGAATTAAAATACCAAAGTTTTTCTGGATGCTAAAGTGTTTGTTTTTAAAGGAAAATAAATTAGCATTACAATATTATAGCTTTTTCATTGAATCGCAGGGATTTATTTCCATTATAACAGATTCCTTTTTTTATTTTTAGTTTCCAGAACATAAAGTATTTTTACAAATATTTTATGAGTTGCTTATGTTTAAGATCAGAAAGAAGAAAAAGTGTGTAAGGGATTACCTTATGTTTTACATGTTATTTTACGTTGTTATAAAATAATTAATGAATATAACGAGCTAAGATATATTTTTCCTTTTCAAGGATAAGGTACAATTATATATATATTTATCATGACAGTGCACACAACTGACCAGTTATACCTTGCTAAGGTATTTACATAAAGCTTCAAAATTCAATAGATCTTTGTTAATTTGCATTTCTTTAGCTTCACAAAAGATATATCTAGTCTTTCTGATCTAATGACATTTCCTGGGAGTCCAGTAGCCTAGGTGGGAGAAGGCTTTGCCTTCCCAAAATGCCAGGCAAGGGCCCACCAACACTCTGCCCCAGAATGCCTGCCGCCATCCTTTCGGGTGGGGAGACAGGAGCTGTGCTTCCTCCTCTCTCCCCTGGTTCTGGGGTTGGGGTTGCACCATCCTCCTTCCCCTGAGGCTCTGGGGCTGAGGAGGCTGGGGCTAGCATTCACCTGCTCCCCTCCCCTCCCTCTGGTTGCCTCCCCCACCCTTACCTTCACCAACCACCCATGTGACTGCTTATATTGAATTGCCGTATAAAAAACCCATAATCATATTTCCAAAATAACTAGTAGCAAATTATGACGTATTAAGTAATTGAAGCTGAACTATCACTGTTAAAATGGAAAAATGCATTTGATTATGTGCAATGTTTGCTTTACTGTGACTTATACTAGATTAATCAACCTGAGGGAAATCTTGTCTCATTGAAGTCAATAGCAAAATTCTAATTAATTTCTACAGATTTCACCTTTTAAGTAGAATATTACTCAAATAAGTCACTGAAATCATTGAGCAGACTTGGGGGACAGGTGTTCCACAATATAAGTGAGGATCTTGGTGACCTTTTTTCATTAATTAGTAAAATCATGTGGGTTTTAAGGTCAGTGCGGAGAAAACTTCTGTTGTTATTTAAGTTTTTGTTATTTGTTTCTGGTTGCATGAAAATCATAGGAATGCTGATCTTGATGACAATTTAGTCACTCAGAATTATATCTTACTGTATTCATGACTGAGGTTTTCATAATTCCAACACCTTTTTGTTTGCTTTTCAGCGCTCATATATAGAAGCTTGGAATAAAGATAAAACTAGTATCCATATTATGCCAGATACCCCTGGTATTTTACTGGCACAGCAGAACAAATGGAATTACAGTGATGTAAGTCGTGCCTTGTTTAAAATTAAAAGGATGAAAAGGAATTGCTTTATTTCTGATATGAGAAACTGTACCGACTTGCAATGGAAGAGGAAAAGAAGAAAGGTTATGACCTACGGGTAGATGCCATTCCAATAAGGGCAGCTAAAGCCTCCCGAGATATTGCAAGTGAAGTAAGTAACCTTGGACCTTTCTCCTCAGACTTTAATAGGTCTCAACATTGTAGCAAGCAGTTAATGCCATATTCCATCAACACGGTCATGTATCACACAACACATTTTCCAGATAATAAATAGAAGTGCAACTAGAATAAAATCTCTACAGTGTCTATTGTTCTTTCCATATTTGATCTGTGACAAGATCACATTCTCAATGCCTGTTATTTATCCCTCTAATATATTTAAAGAGTGCAATCATGTCCCCCCTCAGCCTTCTTTTGGTTAAGGTAAACAAGCCAAGCTCCTTGAGTCTCCTTTCATAAGACAGATTTTCCATTCCTCGGATCATCCTAGTGGCCCTTCTTTGTACCTGTTCCAGTTTGAATTCATCCTTCTTAAATATGAGAGACCAGAACTGCACACAGTATTCCAAATGGGGTCTCACCAATGCCTTGTATAATGGCACTAATACCTCCTTATCCATACTGGAAATACCTTGCTGAATACATCCCAAGACCTTATTAGCCTTTTTCACGGCCATGTCACAATGGCAGCTCATAGTCATCCTATAATCAACCATGACTCCGAGGTCCTTCTCCCCCTCCGTTACTTCCAACTGATGTATCCCCAGCTTATAACTAAAATTCTTGTTATTAATCTCTAAATGTCTAGTTTTTATTGTAATTCATTTTCCTTATTTGATGATAATTTCTGCTCAATATTTTAACAGAGGGTATGTCTACACGAGCCCCTTAGTTCGAACTAGGGAGGCTAATGAAAGCGACCGAAATTGCAAATGAAGCACGGGATTTAAATATCCCGTGCTTCATTAGCATGTTCCTGGGCGGTTGCCATTTTGGAAAATGACTAGCCCGGAATAACTGCCCGCATCTACACGCGGCAGAGAAGGACAATTCCAAAATAAACTTCATTCCATGAGGTTTAACAATAGCCCTGTTAAGGTTCAAACTAGATTTCTGCTTAAGGCCTGAGTTTTTTAAATGCTCTAAATTTAAAGCAGTTATTCAAATTTCCTTGAAGTTTGCTGTGCATCATGACAGCACAGGTTAATAGATTGAATCTGGGGACATCTGACCAAGGGAATCCCATTTCGACATTATTTTGAAATAACAGCTTCCTGTGTAGACATGCACTATGTTATTTCAAAATAATGTCAGTTATTCTGAAATAATGCTGCTGTGTAGATGTATCCTTTGTGTTTAAGAACATAGAACAATGGACTGAAAGGAACCTTGAGAGGTCACAAAGTCTGGTCCCCTGTAGTCATGGCAGGACCAAACATCATAACAAGGCTGAGGCTGTTATCTGAGAAAGTAACTGATGGGCACTTCATGAGACGGAAACTGAATTCTGACCCTAAAGGATCCAGGCCAGTGAATTAGAAAGAACTTAGCTACAATGTCTTAGGCATAGGAAGCTGTCATTCCACTCCAAATAGTCCACACCTAGTCCAAAGACACTGTGTTACTTATCCATTTAAGGACCTCTTATGGTTTTAAGTGCAGGAAACCTATGAGTACTTTAGCACTCAGATTCCATGCTCAATGAACACAACACTTCTTTATGTGGAAGCCTCTACACTAGCACATAATGTCCCCCAGGGAATTGCTATAGGATTATTCGATGTTTTAACAATACCCTTCCTGAATCTTATTGAAGTTTGTTTGTTTATTTGTGGGTTTTTTCCCCCCTTTGACCTACAGTACAAATACAAAGCAGGGTATCGCAAGCAGCTTGGCCACCATGTGGGAGCCCGCAACATCCAGGATGATCCCAAGATGGTGTGGTCTATGCACGTGGCCAAAATCCAGAGTGACCGTGAGTACAAGAAAGATTTTGAGAAATGGAAGACCAAGTATAATACCCCCGTGGACATGCTGGGAATCGTGCTGGCCAAGAAATGTCAGGAGCAAGTCAGTGACATTGATTATAGACATCCTCTGCACAAGTGGACGTGTCTTCCAGACCAAAGCGACGTTGTACATGCCAGGAAAACATACGATCTTCAGAGTGACGTAAGTCCCATTTTTTTTACCAGCTTTGTGAAAACGGAGATGTTCTATTAAATCTATTTTTGCTGCAATATCAAAACACATATTTATGGATTGCATTTATTAACCTTTTTATCTTGCAAGAACCTTACTGCTTCATACTAGATTGGTGGGTTGTCACAGTTTCAGGTCAATTGCATATATATTCCCCTTCCGTGGTCCAGTAAGGAAGCAGCCATTTCAGGCTTCCAGCTTCAAGCCATCACCTCTCATGGATGGAAATCTGAGTTTCAGTCTCCCCTGACCTCCAACGTGATATTTGGCAAATGGCAAATACCAATTTGGTCTACTTAAAGTGTCCCTTCTGTGCCTATGTACATCACGCATCATCTGAAAACCTGTTTTGTGTACTTTTAAGAGGAACAATGTGGAGTAGTGCCATTATCATAGAGGCGGTGGCACCATCTACATGTGAAAATGAACTATTTTTAAATATTTGCAGTGCTTCAAGATAAAGTTGGGTTTTTTGTAATTTCAAATAATCACAACAACAATCTAGGGGGTAAATCAACATGTAACAATAATTTTTACAAGTGTGATTGAAATGTAGTAGTGCTGGAGATGTTTCCACTCAACATCATTATTATCCTCTTTTTTATCTGCATGGTCTCTGTTGAGAATGTGAAAGTTTCACTGCCTTGGCATGTACACCAAGTTCATTCTGATTACTGACACTGTTGATTATACAGTGACCATACTGGCATCATGGCATGTGCACAATTAAGGTCTTGGAGACACTCAGATGTCATTGGATCCTTGAACAGCACAGGGAGTAGTTGATCATCCTCATTTTTCCATCCATGTTGCAACATCTGGTTTAAATATATGCAGAAGCATCCAAATCTTTGTTTGACATGCTCTTCAAAACTGTTCTTCCTTTGTGGAAGTCTCCTCAGAGACTTGAACTTTTTGATGGCTGCATTGAAGTGCAAACAGTACAGGGTTCTGTTGGTGTCCTTTTTCTCTCTTGCTGTCTGTTAACAACTTGCTTTGCAGGTTGTCTGTGACTTTGTCTCAATCTGGCAAGATTTCTGAAGTATAAGTTCCCTTTTCTTTTGCTAAGATTGGTCATGAATTTCCCCAAATATCCAATAGAGGCAATATAGAGTTCCAGCCTCTTCCTTCGTGTATAGCAGGCAGTATGTTGCAGACTTCAGGAGGGGAGGATGTTACAGATTTATTCATGCAATATGAAGTGACACTTGTTAGTTGTGCTCATAATGATGCCTCTTTCAAACCACATGTTATCTATGTATTCAGTTTTTGGAATATATTGAACAGCAAGGACTAAATCTCTGTATCAGGTGACTAATTATTATGATTCCTCTGACACCAAGATACCCAAA